TTTACACACTTGTGAAATCGATTGCTCACTCAAAATATTTGAAATTCGTAGCTGTTGAAACCCCATGAAATCGATTTACACAAGGGTGCAATCTATTGCATGCTGAACGATTTTGAAAAACAGTAGCTTTACTCATGCCTATTTATAACACCATTTCATGGAAACCTTTCACTTAATCTTGGCAATTGTTCATGATTCATTTGCATAATTATATGTTGTTTCAAAAGCGTTCTATGAATATATAAATACTCATTTTCAAAATCATTTGAAGTACCTCTTCCAATCATATTTTCTGAATTTTCAAAAAAATCAAACTCAAGCGTTTATACACTTTCATACACAAGTTTTCAGCACACTTTCACATATTGTCAAACAGAAAACTTTGAGCATTATATATCTTGAGTCATTATATACTATTGTTATTGGAAGAGAAGATCAATTCATTGATAAAATCACTCAAAGTGATCATTGCTACACAAACTCACTCAAATCAAATATTGCTATACTTGCTTATTTTTCAGGATTGTTGAAAATAAGTTCAAGTGATTTTGAAATCTTGTTTTTCAAGGATTGTTGGATACAAGTAAAGTCACTTTGAGAGGATTGTTCTCATTGTTGACATAGTGAAAAATCCAAGAGGATTATTCTTGGTCCAAGAGGATTGTTCTTGGTTTTGGTAGTTCTTGTTTAAGTTTATCAACTATAAGGAAATCTCTTTCATGTTGAAAGGGGACTGGAGTACTCTCGGGCTGCAAGGGGAACCAGGACATATCGCTTGTGTCTCTTTATTTTTCTGCACTCTACTCTTTCATAAACTCACCATAAACAAGAAAAATAATATCCATCATCACTAAAACCAGAAAAATTTTAAAGTACCTACTTCACCCCCCCCCCCCCCCTCTTAGGCACACTTCGTACTTACAAAGCGGTGGCTAGAATCACAGAAGAGAGGGTACGTCATTTTTATTGGAAAAAATCATTTTTTTAGACTTCTCTGAGTTATCATCTATAATAATGATACCCAAATCTCTAGCTCTGTAGTGGTTGAGTTATGTTCTAATTTGGGCATCCAAAACAAGTTTACCTCGATTGAGCACCCTCGGACAAATGGACAAGCTGAAGTCGCCAACAAAGTAATACTGACATGGATAAAGAAGAAGTTAGGCGAAGCCAAAGGTTTGTGGTTTGATCAATTAGAAGAAGTCATATGATTGTACCATACTACCCACAGTCCACCACTAAGGAAACTCCATTTAGAATGGTTTGCGGTTCTGACGCCATGTAACTGATTGAGATTAACATTTCAACATGGTGGAGGGTCCACTATGTTGATGAGGACAACCAGGTTGGACTCCAAGCTGATGCTGACTTGTATGACGAATTTCGAGAAATGGCTGGCATCCAAGAGTATGCCATAAAACAAAGGGAGAAAAGACTTTTCAACACCAAAGTCATACCAAGAGCGATCAAAGATGGTGACTTGGTGCTATGTAAAATTACCAATCTGACGAAGAAAAGGAAATTGCATCCGAATTGGGAAGTTCCTTTCTGGGTAAAACAAGAACTATCGTAGGACGCCTACAAATAAGAGCATCTTAACAGAGCTGAAGTGACTCAAACCTGGAACACTGACAATTTGAGATATTATTTAGATAAAATGTTGTTTGATTTTTTAACTTGCACTTTTGTTGATGGAATAAAATGAATAAAAACGATTAGAATATGCGTTATTTTCCTCTACAAGGGTAAGAGTTTTTAACGAGTCACTGTTGGTCCTTCAAATAAATTTTGACACACCAAATGCACATACCTCTATAGAGGCTCCTACTACAAAATTTTATGAACTCATACAGAGATCTCCGGCCGCGTCAACACCCATCAAAGCACTCTGAACGTCTGCTGTGAACTCATAGAGATCTCTCAGGTTGCATCAACGCCCATCAAAGCGCTATGAATTCCCTTCATAAACTCATAAATAGCTCTCTTCTAACATCAATAAGATGCCCTGATTGTTCGCATTGAATTCATAAAACACAACGGCATCGCCCATCGGGTGATTACCAGCACTAAGATATCTAACATATTCAAACATACAACAAAAACACAGAGTATAAAGTAGAATCAACACTCATAAAACAACCAGGGGACAATGAACCGTAGATCTAAGAAAACCATGATCATTTGTTGAAAAACAAGAATACCAATCAAGTTAATTACGATAAAGAGAAAAGTTATGGGCAATGCAAATAAATTCAAACCAAAGTTATTACAAACCAAAAGAAGCACATCAAGCTCACAACAAAATATAACAAACAATACACCTAAGTTACATACTAAACAAGCTATGATTCTTCAGAGGGGTCTGAGTCGAGGTCCCCTCGACTGGAGTCTTCACTGTGGCATCCTTACCAAGGGAATGAGGAAGATCAAGCTGAGACTCAAACTCTGGGGTGGTATCCAATTCCTCTTCCATTACAAGCTGCCCATCCCAAATTATCTTGAAGAAACATGTTGTACCCCAAAATTTTCCCTCCCATTTTTCAAAGACAAATTGATTCAAGGTTCTCAAACACTCAAGACTACTCAAAGAATGATAAGATGAATCCTTCTCCTAAGCAGTAGCCTACAACAAGGGTTTTGATTTTCTCAAGGAAAAATGGACTTCTAATACCTCAAGTGGATTTTATGGTTTCTCATGTGCTTCAAAGTATCCTCATACAAAATTTTGAGCCTTGCAGCACAAGTTTGCTCAGACAACTAGCCAGATGATTAAAAATCAATTGTATTGGACAAAAAGTCAACTTTGACCAATTTACAATCAAACTTCAATATTTTTGGTAAACAAAAAAACTCATATTCATCATTTTATCAAGTGTTGATCATGATTCCTCAAGAAAACTCTATATTCATCAAAAGTCAAAAGTTGCTAAATTAGGGTTTTCCTTAGGAGAATCAACTGAACTTTGACTAAGCATAACTTTCACATACTCCATCAAAAATTCCTCAACCAAATCCTATCTTGAAGGAAATTCAATTCTCTACAACTTTGTCTCTATAAGCTCATGTACAAAAATGATTCATTTGAGAGATATGAGCCAAAACATTACAGGTCATTTTGAAAGTCAACAAAAGACATTTTTTGTCAAAGCAATTTCCAAAATGTTAGAACTTAAAATGAAAACATGACCAACATGAAAATTGTAGGAGACGTCTTGAGGTTTCCAAAAAGTCCTAGATCATATTCATATGATAAAATTTAAGCAAGTTATGAGTTGCATAATTTGGGAAATTTTGGAGAAAATGCATGAAGTGCAAATTGAGCAAACTTGAAATTTTAGACTAGTAGACCTATCTTTTAAGGTCTAAACATGATCATGACCTTATAGAGGACTCCTAAAATCATTAATGCCTTGCCATAATTTTTATTTATATTTATTTTGATTTTATTCAACTAAATACAAGGCATGTGGGCTTGGTTTTGGATCGGATTTGAGGCCCAATATTTCAAGACAACCAAGCAAGGAACCATGTGAATCTCATTGAGACAAGATCTTGACAAGTTTGGAAAGTTTTAAAATAAATTTTGGAAACAAATCATGCACTTGATTCCATGATATTTCATGCAACTTTTGTTAACCTAAATAACTCTTATAAATACACACAACCACGCCAGATGAAAAGGATACGAAAAGCTGCAAGAGAATAGGGTTTCAAAGAGAAAAAATCTTCAACTTTTATTCACATTCAGTTTTCAAATTCCAAGCAATTTCAAAGCAATCCAAGGTTTCCAATCACTCCCTGAAGGTCTAAGGAACGTTTCTAAACTCGTATCCAATTAGTTCACTACGCCAAAAATGATTTTTTGTATCACCTAATTTAATAGCACTTTTAAAAAAAATGCTATTAAAATGGAAAAAACACATTTATAATAGCACTTTTTAATCGGGCACTATTATATAATACAGACTATGTAATTATGATAGCACTTTGTACCAGAACGCTATTATTAAACTTCTTTAAGATAGCATTTTGTATAAAACGCTATTATTTGACTACCTATATAATAGCATTTATTAAAAAGCGCTATGTTATATATAATAATGAATTAATTAATTAATTGATAAAAAAAAAAAAACACATTTTCAGAAAGTTATTTCAATTAGAAACCGAAACAAAATAAAAAAACACAGGAAGGAGAAAAGTCATTCCAAATCCATTACTTGACTGGCCTCCGACGACACGCCGACGACCGCGAGCGACAACTCAACTGCTTCTGCAACAGCACAATATCGACGCACTCCGGCCCCCTGTAGCGTCACCGGCAGCCACCACTGGGCGTTCGTCTCCGACCTCCATCTCCAGCCACTCTCGGTTTTGCTTGCAGGTAAGCAATTTTTTTCCTCTATTTTCTCGATTTGTTGTCATTGTTGTTGGAGAACTTAAATGCTTGATTTGAATCTTGGATTTCTATTTTGTTGTTGTTCTTATTTTAAGAGAAAGATTGATTTTGTTTTGGGGTTGAAATGGATGAGAGATAGAAAAAACCATGGTTATTGTTCTGCAAGTTGTGGTCTTTTGTAAGAGAGAGTAAGAAGAAGAAGTATCACTGTCTAGAAAGAAAAGAGAGAACTAACATTTCTCTCTCAAGATGTGTGCATTATAATTTTTTTTCTTATAATAATAGTTGCCATTTCTCAAAATCTCATTCTCCGTCGAACTCAACCCTTTGTCATCTCACCTACGTCGTCGTCATCCCTCTCTTCATTTGTATCCGGTAATATTTCTTTTTTCAGTTTCTGCTATCCGTTGATTCTCTGTGTTGTTTGTGAGCGTTATGATGTCTTCGTGTTGATGGATATTCGTGATTTTGAGTAGCTGTAATGAGGGTTTTAGCTTTTGTTAGCAAAAGACCACCGATGGCCACAATAGCTAATGGTAGCCCTCCACATTTTTGAACAATTTCTCTGGACATCTCCTCAAGTTATGTTGGACAGTGCCCTCTAAACGTCTTGTTGCAAAACAGCTCCCATGCTTTGTCTGGAGGCAAACGTTGTAGCTCATGGACATGAACAGGAAAATATTTCCTAAAATAATCAGCTACATGCATTTTTCTAGTAGTCACAATGATTCTACTTCCTTTGTTATTACTAATTAAGGCATGTTCAATCCCATCAGAAAAATTATCTTTTCAGACATCATCAAATAAAACCAAGTACCTTTTTGACTCAAGGTATTGTCTCACTTGATTAATCAAAGTTTCATCATCCATATTCTGCAGACCCCTTGGAATAGGCTCGTTGCTGTCCTTGCAAAATTTCTTTATCATTTCTGTCAACAGCTCTCTGATGGTGTACGATTGCGAAACAGTGATGAAAGATCTACAATCAAAGTTCTTTTTCACTAGCTGGCTATCAAAAACATTCTTTGCGAGAGTAGTTTTCCCGAGTCCTCCCATGCCAACCACAGCAACCAACATGAGCTCATTGTTTTCCTCCACCAAGCATCTGACCAATTCATCTCGCGCGGACTCAAATCCTACAACTTGAGTCTCTTCAATGAAATACGGAGCCATTCGAGGGTCACCAATTCTAGGAGCTTTAGTCCTTCCTGCTTCATTTTCAGACAGAAACTCAAACCTTGTACTTCTTTCTTTGATTCTACCAAGTGATAACTTGATGTCTTGAATCTCAGAAGCAATCTGGTGATGCGGATTCATGGTTTTGATCAAACCAGGAATCATTTGGAGTGCAGATCTGAATATAGAATGACTGGCCCTCTCTGCCAAACACAAAGCCAAAAGCAATGGAAAGAGAATTGAGGTAAAATTCCTTCTATGATACAGGAAAACAAGAAGCAATTATTTTGCCTAATTAGTGATTGTATCTATGAGTTCAACGCTTTTGGATCATGAAGGTGGTTACTACATGGGATTGTTTTGTTATCCTTTCTTATTTTTTTTGTGTTTTGTTTAGAGAATTTGATTGTATGTTTTTGGATTTGGATTGAAGTACTCATAGATGGGCATCTACAAATTTGGCTATGCAAACGCCCTCTTAATATTCTATATGTTATGATATTTGGAAACAATAGGATTTGGTAATTTAAAATGTTATTTGGTATTTGATGGATCATAATATATATGCAATGAGTAACTTAAAGCGTTATTTGTGTTGAATTGAATATAGTTATTTTATATTTACACCAAAAAAAATGATTGTGTAAGAAAAAATATTGTACTGTACTTATTAAAAATATTGTACCAAATATGTACCATTTATTAGCACTTTATTTGAAAGCGCTATCAAACATATGTTATATATTAGCACTTTTTGTTTAGAGTGCTATTAAAAAACAAACAAAAAACATGCAAATACTGACTTTGATAGCACTTTAATTAAAACGCTATTATAAATTGGTACTTTAATAGCGCTTTTAAAGTGCTATTAAATAAGAAATATTTACAATAGTGGCGCGGTTAATAGCACTTTTAAGCGCTATCAAAAACAAAAAAAAGCGCTATTAAATAGCTTATTTGGCGTAGTGGTTCACCACCTGAAACGAGCCCAGCCTCTAGCTCCAATTGGTAAAATTCTTGATTCTTAATTTTTCATTCCATGCGTGTTTCATAATTACTAACAGCCTGGATCTTCATATATGCATATTTAGAACAGTTTGCAAGCATCACATGAAGCTTATAATGTTGAAATTATGATTGGCCATTGATGAACCGGGCTAGGGTTTTTTCTTCGAAACTCACGATCTAGGAATTTTTAGCCAAAACTAACACTTGATTTGGATTCAGGAGGGACCATTTAGGGGGGTAGGGTCCTCCTTTTTCTTTGAATCTACCGATTTTGCAGGATTGACGCTGGGACCCGTCGGAGAAGAAGACCGGAGTTTGACTCTGGCGTCTCTGAATTTTGGTTAACTCTGGTAGAGCTGGCGTGGCACAATGGAGCATCATGATTGACTCTCTCTTAGTAACAGGGACCCACTTGTGCTGACTTGCTTTTGAATTCAAATTAAAGGCATTGTTTTATTATATAATGATATGTTTGTGTTCCAGTAACAGATAGACAATATAGTTCAGTTGGCAAGGAGGGAGACTGCTGAAAGGAAGGGCGCGGGTTCAAGCCCCAATGCTAGCATTTTGGTTTGCCCTATTTTTAAACTTTTTCCTAATTTTTTCTCATTTTTTCTTTTAATTTTCCATTAATTCTTTTTAACTAATTTTTAATCCAAAAAAATTCATAAAAAATATAATAAAATCAAATTTAGGTTTTTAATAGATTAATTTAATTTTAGACAAACTTTTTTTATTTAATTAATTAGATCTAGGGTTTTCATTAATTAATTAAGTATTTAGTTTAGTTTTTAAAATCTATTTATTTTATCATTCAAAATTAATCAAAAATACAAAAATTAGGTTAGACATTTAGGATATTAAAAAACATTTTATTTGCATTAGACAGTTTGTATAGGTCGTCCTTATTTTGTAATAGTCTAGATTTTAATCTCTGGCACAGTTTTTACTATTGTACCTGCCTCAAAGCCTTGTAATATAATTAGGTTTACTTTTCAGAATCTTTACTTTCTGCACCTATATTATGCTTGCTTGTATATATTTAACTGTTAGTAATAGGCTTGTATGATAAGAATAAAATAAATAGTTAGAAAACCCTAATTCAATATAATATAATTGAACGGAATCACCTTTTGCACACTTTGCACCTCTAGGGTAACCTCTCTTTGTTGTCTTTAGAAATAATGGTCATGTCCCTCGGAAGTGGGGATACTTTAGCAAAGACCCTCGATTAAATCATCATACTCCCTTCGAATAAAGATCATAGTCCCGTGATATCCCTCGAGTTTCCTACGAAAGATGATCTAGTCCCTTTTTGCCTACGAATAATATGATGGTAGTCCCTTCGAATTGCTAAAGTATCCTTACATGTTTCCTTATATGACCATACGACGAACCTACGCCTGTCCTTTCACATCCAACAGATAGGGCTACCTACCAACTAATGGTACAGATATCACTATCTCTAAAGGAGAAGGAAAAGAATAGGAACGACCTTTAGTGGGTAAGGAATTCTTAAATGCTTGCTCACAACTCTTTTCTAAAATAAACATTTTTACACATCACACTTTCAAACAAAATATTTTCAAACACTTTGTACGCATTCTTAAGGATTGATACAAGAATCATTACAAAGTCAATCGTACTTTGGCTTTTGAAAAATATTTTCAAATCACACACACAAAGAAAATTTTCAAAAGTGAGCTAGCGATTAAGAGCCCGTAGATAACTACGGATGAAAAGGGTCCTAACACCTTCCCTTTTCATAACTAACCCCCAAACTCAAAATCTATCAAGGTCTTTCCTATTTTTTCAGCCTTTCCTTATATTGGATAAAAGAAAAGTCAGTGACGACTCTAGCTATCCGCACATGTTGGATAAAAGCAAAAAAAGTCAATTCTCCCACCATATGACAAAACCCAAGGCAGACAGATCAATCGAAGGATAAAGGAAAAGGGTCTGCCTTTTTTCTTTGTCTAAACCTTGATCTCTAGCAAAGAGACTCTCCATCACCGTGGCCTCCAGCTTCACATTCAGTTGTCCACCAGCTTCCCATGTTCTGAGAGCTTACCCCTCAAATCTTTAGTAAGCTTCTCAGCATACGACAACTTTCCACGGGCCTCAGCTAGCTCATAATCTGACACTTTCTTGTCTGCTTTTAGTTCGTATAGCTCTTTCTTGACGGAAGACATACGTTGGTTGGCTGATGCCACTAAAACATCCTTTAAATCCCGCGACTCCTTCATTTCTTTGAACCTTTTATTTAGTTCAGTCGCATTCTTCTCAGAAGAGTCAGACACCTCGAATAGAGCCCGACATAACACAATAATTTTCATCAAGTGAGTACCAATATTTTGGATCAGGTTCTAGGTGTTATAACTGGATTTTAAATCGAGTCACCACTACTAGTTTTTATCCTAAGGAAGGGAATCTAATAGGAAACCTTAATTTTATACACAGAGATTCTAGGTTCTTACTTCATTTAGACAAAGGGAACGTGTTAGGCACCCATCATCTACCTTGTTCACAAGGATACCAGGGTTTAGGTTTTAAAGGTTTAGGGTAAGGGTTTTAAGTTTTTAATAGGGGAACTCGCCACGACATTAGTCATATGTCTACGTGTCCTCTTATGAGGAATCAGAGGCCCAATTTGTAGTTCGTAGGGGGTTTGTGTTTTTTATAGATTATGCAGATATTTGAATTTCCTTCATACCTAGTCCAGGTGTATGAATAATAGAGATTTTGGACCAAGTGCACAGTTAATTAAAATATACTTCGTAATCCTTTTCAAAAATTAATTTTTGAATTAATTTAATTATGAAAATGGTTTATTCTTGGTTAAATGTTTTTTATTTTATTAATTGTAAAAAAAATCTTATTAAATACATGATTATAAAAAATTTAATGCAATAATAAATAATATTTGAATGAGGTTTAAAATAATATTTGATTTTTATGAAAATAATAAACATAACATTGAAAATATATATAAAAATAGAAAATATAAGAATAATAAAATAAATCAAAGAAATGAATTAAAAACGCAAGGGGGTGCAAATAATGTTAAGGTAGTAAAACAGGCAGGTGCTAACAACATGGGCCTGAATTCAGATATTGAATTCAGGCCCAAAAGACAAGGGGTGTATTTTTACATTGCACGGCAAAATTGAGGGTGCAAGGAGTATGGGTCCAAGTCCAGATATTGGACTTGACCCGTTTGGCCAGGGGGTGTAGATTCGCAGTGTGTTTAGAAAAAATAGCAAAGGCAGGGGTGTGATTAGTAACGGGCTTGGCCCAGTGAGGTTTGGGAGTCCGTTTGGACTCCATGTGGACAACTGCAAGGTGATACGGCAGGCGTGTGCATCAGTAACACTTGATGGTGATCGTGACGTTGAGATTGGGGGGAGCATGGTAACATAGTATGACGACATATACCTGATCGTTGAACACAATATATTTTCACTTAACAAAATATTTTTCATTTTTCTTATTTCTCTCTCATCCAGTCTCTCATTCTCTTCTCTCCTCTCTTACCCAAACAAAAACGAAACCCTAATTTCCAGCGGCGCCTCCCAACTCAAACCCTTCCCCAGCTCAAAATAAAACCCCGCACCCCCTAAATTCAACTTGACAATCAATAAAAAGTAGATTGGCAAAAGCTAAGTGTTGGCAATAGTTTACCTATGTTTTTCTGTTTTGCGTTTGTCCGATTCGGAGTTCTAATCTCTTCTCCTTTTCTGTTTCGCAGTTTTGACGGTAGCGATTCAAATATCTTGGAGGTAGTGGCTCAAAGCTCTCAACGGTGATGATTGAAGGTGATGGCAGTGCGGTGGAACAGATCTAGGGTTTCGGACTTTGAAAACTAGATCTCAACAAGCTAGCACTTCTTTTGCTCCATCAGTTCTCTTCTCCTTCTGCTTTCAATTTTCGGTTCACTTCAGAAATATTTTCTCCCCCTCTTTCTGTATTAGGTTTTGGTATTTATAATTTTTTTATTTAGATGATTTAGGAAATAAAAATTGTAATTGTTGTTACTTTTTAGATTTGAAGGAATTAAGGATTTTGCAGATTTGATTTTGTATTAGGTTAGTACAAATTTGTATAAATTGGATTCTTTTACGAAAAATTCTTGATTCTGTATTGATTTGTTATGTGAA